ATGATATGATATGATATGATATGATATGATATGATATGATATGATATGATATACCATGTTATTGTTTTTTCTAAGCTGCTTTGTCTTTCATATATATTCAAATTACAGAAGCTGTGAACATATTATTCTGCCTCATCAAGAAAAACATACTATTTTTACTAGCTCCCTTACCTGGGAGCACTATTTTTCTTATAGCATGTGTAAGCACAAGATGTTTATTCTAACACCAACAGATCAGTTTCATAAATGCAGGTGGATCTGTACGTCACTTTTATCTATATAACTATCCCAGAATTTGCATAGCCCTGAGTTAGGTATAAACACAGTAAAATATCAAACAATTCTACCAAATACAAGTACATTCTTTTTTGAAACTACACCTTGGGCTTCTTCACCTATCTTCTGTTAAGTCCATCTTAACATATATATGTACATTGTGAATATATAAAAATTATGATTATACATATACATTATATATATCATAAACACGTACATGTACATGTGCATGCACATGCACATATACATACATATACACAAGAGACTATGAATTTGAGAGAGAGCATCTGGGAGGTGCAGAGAAAGGGTTGGAGGGGGAAAAAAGGAGAATATGATGTAATTATGTGTAATTTAAAAATACATCTAAAATAATTTATTTTGTGGTTGGTAGTATCTTCTCCATCCAAATTCTTGCCACCACTTTTAACAACCTTTACATTCATGTACAGAAGAGACACAACAGAAGAATTCTAAGGTTTGTCCCTAATAGAGGATTCTCTTCGCCATACCACATTAGAGAGTCTCAAAATCATTCTTTTGCTGCTGCCCTTGGTTTCTTCTCAGAGTTTGAAGACACCGTGCATTTTGGACAACAAACTTGGAGGATCTGAGCTGGATCTTACTTGAAAGTTTCCTTCCTGAAGACAAGTTTTTATATTTATTATAAGATCCTATGAAATCTACCAAAGGAAGGAAATAACTAATATTCTTGCTCAGCTGTGATGCATGCTTAAGTGTCCAATGGAGCACTCATGTCTGGATTTGAAGCAACAGCTGTCTAATTGAATTTAAGCCCCTTTCACTAGGAAGAAACCGTATCTGGTACTGGAAACCTGGTCAGCTACTCAGGACTAGTGAGGTCATGGAAGGTAAAAGAGAACTTGTTTCACACTTTACTAAACCAGCATAATCTCTAACTATACTCTAAAAATTTATCCTTATACCCACAGAGAAAAATGTCTTTTAATCCTTATCGAAGGAGCTTCTCTTTGGAGCAGACAGAAACTATTACAGAAATCCAAAACTCTTTAAAATGAAGAGAACAGCAGATTGTGAGTTTTCAATCCCCCGATGGATGCAGTTACAAGGCAACTAACTCTTGGACCTAAAGTTCAGTGATTATCATAGAAGAAGTTAGGAAAGACTTCAATAGCCAGAGGACCAGGAGGTCTCCTAATGAGGACAAATGCCCTAGAACCAACAAGGAAGCTACATTTATGATAACTCAACAATCTGAATGCTTAAACAAATCCTGAACAATGGCAACTTCAATAGACATTCTATTTTGGAGGAGAAAATCTTACTGGGGCCCAACCCTTTCACAAAGAATTGTCCACAGCTATGACCTTCTGAAAGCAGGAAAGTAGTCTTCCCCAGGAGTGATCCTCCTAATTAGCTGTCCAATGTGAAGTAGTCAGCCATGTATGCAATTATACACACACTAGTAAGAATGTGGGGCTTTTAGCAGGTTGTATACCTGCATGTATTTACCAGGAGCCCAATGGCCTGGATCAAGTTGAAAGGAGACATAGAGTAGGACTCTGTTGGACCTTTAAGACTCATGGTCTCTGGATGTTCTAGCTCTCTAACTATACTGAATGTTGATGGTAACTTCTAAAGCGTTCTAAAAACTTTGTTACTCATTCTGAGGGTTAAAAGTCACTGCTTTAGGGGATTAATACCTTTAGCCTAACAGCAAAGGGTGTGGGGGTGGGGGAGATAAAGTAATGTAGCCTTTGTTCTGTCTCCACAGGAATTGCATGGCTCTCCCTTTCAGTTTGCTAGTTGAAGTCACAGGAAGAAAAAGGGACATGTTGAAAAAATGATTTTAGCGTTTATTTTTAAGTTGTAAAATGTTTCCTATAAAAGCACTGCAAGAAAAAGTGGGAAAGAGGAATGAATGATCATGGAGATCCTAAGGGGAACATGGGAAATTCGCACTTCTCTCTTTGTCCTCAGCACATAGGGATCTTTCAGAATACACGATCACATGGTAAAAAAAAAATTCACCACAAGTTCACACATAAATTCAAATTATCAATTGAGTAAAAAGTAAAAATTGAGAGAATGTTTACATGCATATCCATTAGGAGTAATTATCTGGATAAAGATTCATCACCTGTCACAGTTCCACAGGTTCATGGAGAGTTAAAAACCATAACTAATTTATTAGTGAAGTTTTGTATAGATAAAGCAATCTACTAGAAATATTTGGCAGAGATTCAT